AGAGTAGGCAGGAGCTTCCGCCTGCCCTGGACACTTACCTTCGCCAGCTAGACTCTGGGGGAGGAGATAAGTAGGCAGGACTGTAGGGAGAGCTGTCAATGTGAACAGCACCAGTTAAGGAAAAAAGTAGAGAGGACAGATGAGATAGAGGCCAGATGAGGAAAGAACAGTGGAGGCAGCAGATAAGTTGTTTTGAGAAACACATACCTTTCTCCTCTTCTATAAGGGACAACGATAGGATCAAAGAATGGAAGAGAAGAAGGGAATCAGGTCTAACGGGGCTGAAAAAAATCCAGGAGAATGTCCAGGCAGGACTTCGAGGATACAGGTACACATGTCTCTGAGACTGAAAACTCAGAAATGTGAGGAGAAGGGACGCAATCTCCTTTAGCAAGAGACAAGGAAGGCTGCCTCTGGCAGCAAGCTGATGTGAAGACAGCCAGAGCCAGCCAGAGACAGGGGGCACAGCCTCAGGAGCAAAAACTCCTTATCACAGGACCAGGTGCTGATGCAGGAGCTATGGTTGTTTTCAGGGAAGCTGGGTAAAGAAGAGCTCCAGGAGAAGGATGGGACTGCACAACACTTCAAGTGCTTCCTATAAGTCCCTGAGGAACCCCATCCCACTATCTTTCAGACACTCCCAAGTCCCCTGTGAAGGATATGTGGCGGGGGTATCGGCGAAGTGGGGACACCATTCTTCGAGGATCTCGCTGCACCCGTTCCACCAGCCCATGGTGCCGTGTGCTTCGAGATGAATCCAAAGGTGAGTGGAGGGGGCTCTGCCAAAAAGGACAGAAGTCAGCAGAGGAAGCAGCCTAAAGAACCTCCACTCCTCCCTGGCTGGTGTCTACTCACCTGGAACTCGGCCAGGCCAGAGCCAATCTGGTTAACATTGGGCAGAGACCCACCATAATGAGAGCTCCTTGTGTACGCCAGTCGCAGTTTTTGGGCCTGTAACTGAGACATGGGGAACAAGTGGGAATGTCAGGAAGGTCCTGAGCACTATTTCCTTCAGTCATCCTTGCCATCTCTGTCACCAGGATATGCTGCTGCTGTCACTGCTTTTAAAATATCTAGGCCAGGCACAGTAACTCACACCTGTAATCCCAGCACTTTGGGAGGCCGAGGTGGGTGTATCACGAGGTCAGGAGATCGAGACCATCCTGGCCAACACGGTGAAACCCCGTCTATACTAAAAATACAAAAAATTAGCTGGGCGTGGTGGCGGGCGCCTGTAGTCCCAGCTACTTGGGAGGCTGAGGTAGGAGAATGGCGTGAACCCGGGAGGCAGAGCTTTCAGTGAGCCAAGATCGCGCCAGTGTACTCCAGTATGGGTGACAGAGCGAGACTCCGTCTCAAAAAAAAAAAATCTAGGCCAGGCACAGTAGCTCACACCTGTAATCCCAGCACTTTGGGAGGCAGAGGTAGGAGGATCGCTTGACCCCAGGTATTGGAAAGCAGACTGGGCAACACGGTAAGACTCCGTTGCTACAGGAGGATCACTTGAGCCTGGGAGGTAGAGGCTGCAGTGAGACGTGTTTATGTCACTCTGCTCCAGCTGCCTGGGTGACAGAGTGAGATCCTGTCTCCAAAAAAAAAGTAAATAAAAATAAAGAAATAATCTTCCAGAAGAAAGGCCAGTGTTGGGGTTTGAAAGGTCCACTGAGATTTGGTGCAAATAACCCACCAGAGCCCATCTGCAGACTGCCCTCATCAATGATATCACTACTGTTTGACATCATCCTGCCAGGCGGAGACAGATATTCTGCTCAAGACCTGTCTCATTTGGCATCACTCTAAGCAGAGTCCCTGAGGGGCTGCCAGGAGCCCCCGGGCTACTCACAAGGGAGAGTGCCTATTAGGAACCTCTGCTTTCTTTCTAGATGCATCCAGGACTAATTGGGTCATTAAGAGGAAGGCTACAGATGGATGTCACAGAGCCATTACTGCCAGCCTTTTTCCTTCCCACTCTGGAGAGCACAGGCTTCTGGGCTCTGCCACTTGCCCAGCCTCAGGAAGGCTACACAAAGCCTGCACCTCCCAAACTAGAACATCCAAGGAATGACAACTCTCCTAGCTGGAAAAACAGCACCAAAACCAAGGGACATTCTTCCACTGAATCCTAAGGCTCCTGAATTGGCAGGGAAGCCTGGAGGAAGAGGGTGGAGAGAGCAGTAGCCCACTCCAGCATGGGCCAGAGCCATCTTCCTGGTCTCATCCTCACTTTGGGGAGATATGTCTGGCATAGACGTCAGACAGCCTGACATGGATTTAGCCTGTGTACAGATATCCTATCTCTGTGAGAGGTGAGCATCTATTTCCAAGGCTCAGCCCCTGCCACCAGCCAAATAAACAGGCCCAGGGCAAGGCCATGGGGAGGAGGGTAGCTGAGGAGGGGCAAGTTCTAAGAGCTTCCAGGGTCACACTCTTGTACAGAAGCCAACATCAGAACTGACGTTCTGTTCCAGGAGGTCAGCCTAGTGAGTTCAGTGGGCACTGTGCTGACCTCTGGACCACTTCAAGACCACTATCAACATATATGGCAACCCCAGTCTCTCAGTGGTATAGCCTCCCATGACCATCTCTGTCTCAAATGAGCCCTCCCACCTGGCCAGATAACAGGCTGAGTCCCAGATCTCTTGTCCCTAGCTCTAGGCTTTTGGGTCCCCTGGCCATATAAGCCCACTAGACTTTTCTGTGTAGCTGAGAAATTAACCAATAGGAGCAAGGTGGGTAGAGGGGGCCTTTTAAGAGATCAAGGCACCATAAAGAGAAGCCCCAGCTTTTGAGTTTCACACAGCCTTTCTTTGCACATACAAGCCCTAAGATCCCACCGTGCCTCTGCTAGAATCACAGTCCTGAGGGCAGGGCCTCACGCTATCAAGATCAGACTCCCATCTTCCTGTCTCTGTCCCCAACATGATGAAAAAGCTCCTAAAGGGGAGCAATCTACAGTTAGATCATAATCCTCACAGTGGTTACAGTGGGTTATGCACACACATGCATGTAAGTGTGCACATGCATGCACAGACACCCTCCCAGATTTGCCTCCCCACCTAACTTCTGACTCCCACAAACTAGGGCACATACTCCCTAGAGACTCAAAGGGGAAAGGACGAGGAAAAAAAAAAAAAAGACTAACAGAGTCAAGGGGGATACACACAAAAATACAACCAGAGTCACAGTCACAGATGCAACCACAGTCAGACCAGCAGAAAAAGGCTAGAGATGTTGTAGTAACGTTCCATCATCAACCCTTAAATTCCTTCTAGCTCTCTGCCATGAGGAATCACTGCAATACCCTTATTGCAGTTTTTTTAGAAGAATGTGTCCCTAAATTAAGACTGCATACCACCTAGGCAGACTCCCACCCCTTGGTCCCTCTGACATCCAGCCTTGGAAAGCAAGAAATCAAGGCCGGGGGGCTTCAGAGGCAGCCTGGCAGAGGCCTGAAAGTTCTCTCAAGAACTTTCTAGGAATGAATATTCCCTACACATAGAAACCCTCCAAGGCACCCTACACACGGACCCACAAAGCAGCCATCTCCCTAGAAAGCTCAGCAAACCATAGAGTTCCACACAACTTATGGTCGAACGGTTACCCAGTTTTAGGATTCAAAACTCTACCTCTCCTCCAAGGAGGCCAGGACAAAACACCAAGCAATGGACCTCACCTTCATTCACGTCAGGAAACCACAAGAAGTATTTGAAAAAGGAAGCAAAAGGACGGGACGCAGGAGGGGACTTCCTGCCCCACTATACACAGCACCGCTCGTTCAAACCACGCAAGGGGCCCTTTCCCGGGGGCACCAAAGCGCAGAGGGCAGAGGGACCAGTTTGGAGGAGATCACAAACTCAGAGGAGCCAGGTTACAGGCAAGCAGCCCTCCTCCCAGGCCATACTCCAATACCAGGCATGCTTCAGTAGCGTCCTCGAGGGGACTCCGTCAGGGATGCACAAGGACCACTCACCTCCTACCTCCGCCGGACCCATCTCCTCTCTCCGTCCACTCCCGCCTCACGTACTCGGGCCCCCAGTCTCCTCTACACCCCCAACCTCTCCAGTGTTTCGGTCTCCCCCGGCAAAATCCTTCTTCCTGTCCCTCGGCCCTCAACCTGCGCCTCCCAAACGGCGGCGCCCGCGTCCCCTGCCCCGTTCCGCCTCCTTCGCTGCGACGCCCGCCCCCGCCCCGCCTCTCCGGTCTCCGCTCTGTAACTGCTCGGCTCTGCTCGGCTCCCCGGCGCGGCCCCTCACCCGGGTGGAGCCGATGTCCATCATCACCTCCTCGAAGGCCGCCGTCTCCTCGGCCTGACGCTGCTTCTGCAGCGCGATCTTCTCACTAAATTTGCGCGGATTGGAAGCCGAGGCCGAGGCCGTGGCCGAGCCAGGCCCGTTCGCCCCCGACGTCGCCATCTTCCTTCCCCGTCCCTGCCTGCCACCCTTCCAGTACCAGCCGCGGCCTTCGCCGCGGCCCTGGCCCGGCTCCTCCAGCCGTAGCCACCGCCGCCTCAGCGAGCACAGCGAACCCGGCCCCAGCCTAGCCCTGACCTGTTGAGCGCGGGGGCCGCCGGGAATTGTAGTTTGTTTACGAGACTCCTTCACATCTCCAGTCACGCAGCACCGGGAGGAAACGGACTCCACTTCCCAGCAGCCCTGCTGACTCCGGAAACTGGGGACTTCGCTCCACCCTCTCGGCTACTCCCTGAGAGGGGCAAGCTGGGAAGAGTAGTTCTAAATTAGTCCTGAGACTACGAACGGAAAGGGGAGAGGAATTAGAGAGGAAAGGAAGAGCGAGGGGAGCGGAGAGGAGGGGGACCGGGAAAGAAGTACCAAGACACAAAGGAGGAAAAATTTGGTTATCTTCAAGGGGACTATCGGGGCCTGAGTGAAAACAGTGAGACCAAGAATCTTAAAACAGCTGTAAACATCTGGGACTCAGGCCCTCTCAGGCTGGCCACATGCCCACCCCTTTCCCAAAACAAATGAATCAGATACTGTACAGATGTCTAGAAACATCTTTTATTTGGGTAACAGGTCCCAAAACAGGTCAGTTAATAAAATAGATTCTAAAGAATATGGCCCTATGCACAGCCCTCCCTCCCCAAAAATAACGCTATGGGTAGGCATTGCCCTTCCCCCTTGGGCTCCTCGGGTGTATTTAAAAAAGTTTTGGCAGCTCAGTGTTTATCATCTGGGCATGGGACACCATGTCCATGTCCCCATATTCCTAGGGTACAGTAGCAGTAGGTGGCTGCAGCAACCTTCCTCCTACCCCAGCCCAGAAAATATTTCTGCCCCACCCCAGGATCCAGGACCAAAATAAAGAGCAAGCAGGACCCCTTCACTGAGGTGCTGGGTAGGGCTCAGTGCCACATAACTGTGCTTTGAGAAAGAGGAAGGGGATTTGTTTGGCACTTTAAAAATAGAGGAGTAAGCAGGACTGGAGAGGCCAGAGAAGATACCAAAATTGGCAGGGAGAGACCATTTGGCACTAGTCCCCTGGGAGACGGGAAGAGGGAGATAGATATGAGGGCAGGTGCTAAGAAAAGTAGGAGGGGTCCACTCCAAGTGGCAGGGTGCTGAAATGGGCTAGGACCAACAGGACACTGACTCTAGGTTTATGACCTCTACATAGCTGTCCCACAGCAGCTGGGTGCCCACCTCCAGCCTCCCATGTGAGCCTGTCCTTATGTATAGTGTCCAACTTCTGCTTCTAGCAGTCGTGTCTTCCCCAATCCTAATGTCCCCTGATCATGTCTCTAGCGACTTGACTATCTCTTGTTTCTTGGGACTGGGGCCAGCCTCTCGTCTGCCCACTTCCCTCTCATTAGTCAGATAGCCCCAAAGGCTCTATCTTTAGCTCCCAGAGAATTTTTTGGTCCTCAGTACTTCCCTTCCCCATTCCTTCCTATTCCCCACAACTGGGGGAGGGAAGGGAGAACAGGGGCACCTGATCATCAATCTCCCCTACCCCTCTCTTGAAGCACCCTAGATTTGGATGAAGAGCAGGCCAGTGAGTAGGGCAAAGCCTGCTAGGAGCAGGATGACCTTGAGGATCCTTTGTTCAGAACTGGCCAGCTCCTGGGGCAGGATTTCCAGAAAGGTGATATAGAGAAAGGTGCCAGCTGCCATGCCCTCTAGCACAGACTGGGCCAGTTGGTGCAGAGGTCCCGCCGACTCAGCCAGAGCTGCACCCAGCCCGATGCCTAGAGGTGTCATGCATGAGAAGAGGATCCCACAGCCAGCCACCACCTGTGCCCTAAGGTGGCTCTGCAGCAGCCGCAGGGACAGGCTGACAGCCAGGATGCCCTTGTGGAGCAGCAAAGCCAGGCACAGCTCCATCGCCCGAGCCCGGTCTCGCTGCAGCCCCACCGCCAGTCCCTCAAACACAGAGTGGAGGGCCAGGGAGAATACCAGTACACAGGCACGCAAGGCTGAGGGGCTTGCTGGGGCTCCACTCGCCTGTGGAATCCCTGGCCCATCATGCCAATGCTGCGGCCCACCATTCACTGTTCCCAGCAGAGCTCTTGTTTCCTCAAGAGGTGACGGCCCTGACTGCTCCTTGTAAGCCAGTGTGATCTGCTCCATCACCAGGACCAGGAAGAAGCCCATGGCCAGGATGAACTCTTGCAGCGGGAACTGGAGCTGTGGGCAGAAGCGGCAGCAAAACGTTCAGGGAAGGAAGAGTGAGATGCAAAATCTGGTGGAAGCCCAGTTACACAGACTTAGGGTCCCACACAGATACAGGGCTACTCTCGGTCACACAAAGATAAAGTGAATTGGTAACACTGGTACAGAATGATACACACACACAGATTATGGTGTCACTCACAGTGTTACATGTAGACCAAAGTTTCTCAGCTTTGGAACTATTAACATTTTTGGGCCAGCTGCGGTGGCTCATGCCTATAATCTCAGCACTTTGGGAGACCAAATCGGGCACATCACTTGAGCCCAGGAGTTTGAGACCAGCCTGGCCAACATGGTGAAACACCATCTCTACTAAAAATACAAAAATTAAGGCCGGGCACGGTGGCTCAAGCCTGTAATCCCAGCACTTTGGGAGGCCGAGACGGGCGGATCACGAGGTCAGGAGATCGAGACCATCCTGGCTAACAAGGTGAAATCCCGTCTCTACTAAAAATACGAAAAAAAAAAAACTAGCCGGGCAAGGTGGCAGGCGCCTGTAGTCCCAGCTACTTGGGAGGCTGAGGCAGGAGAATGGCATAAACCCGGGAGGCGGAGCTTGCAGTGAGCTGAGATCCGGCCACTGCACTCCAGCCTGGGCGACAGACAGAGCGAGACTCCGTCTCAAAAAAAAAAAAAAAAAATACAAAAATTAGCAGGGTGTGGTGGTGGATGCCTGTAATCCCAGCTACTCGGGAGGCTGAGCCAGGAGAATCACTTGAATCCCGGAGGCAGAGGTTGCAGTGAGTCAAGATTGTGCCACTGCACTCCAGCCTGGGCAACAGAGCAAGACTCTTTCTCAAAACAAACAAACAAGCAAACAAACAAACAAACAAAAACACATTTTGGGCCAGATAATTCTGTCATGGGAGCTGTCTTGTGCACTGTAGATTAATAGCATTTCTGATCTCTACCTACCAAATGCCAACAGCAGGCACAATGTTCCCTCTATCCCCCTCCCCACTGTGACAACTAAAAATATCCCTAGACTGTTTCCTGAGGAGCAAAGCCACACTCCTAGTTGAGAGTCATGGATGTAGACATACATGAAATGGTCACACATTGGCCCACCTCCCCAAATACATAGAGCCACATATCACAGGACATTCAGGCTTATACGCAGTCACACAGAGACACAGGTCACTCAGTCACAGACACAAAGGATTACATCCAGTGCCACTTCCTCAGTTTTAGGGGAAAAAAGAGAGGAAAGAGCCCAGGATGACTTTCCTGCCCCACTATCCAACGGCCTCAGTTTTTCCTACAATAAACCAAGTCCTATGCCGTGGACTTGATCATTCCTCACAGCCCACTTCTTTAGGCCAAGGCCTAAAAAGGTCAGCAACACCAGGACCCAGGGAATCACCTCCTATCCTTCTCAGGCCTACAGAGACCTCTATCTCCAGCCCTTTAGGAAAGTGGTGAGAGAGTGAAGATGATTCTTGGAGCACTTGCTGGTAGCTAGAACTGAGAACCCACAGAGAAAGTCACACACCTGAGAAAAAATGACTTACTGTCTCAAAGGGCATGTAGGGGTCACACAGGGAATGGGGAAGGGGGAGGGAACACAGAAAGAATTATGCCCCATAACCAAAAATCACTATTCATATCACATGCCAAAAGCCTTCCACAAAGTCACAGAGTGGCACATGAATCGATCTCCACAAACCAACACTCTTAGAGGTGTGTGATTTCCCTCCCGCATGTCACATGTCCAGGTCAGCGCTCACCGTCACGTGCAAGGCTGCCAGGGCCTCATCTATGGCAGCCAAGTAGTCAGGCAGCAGGTCCAGGAGACAGGTGGCCAAAAAGACACCCCCCGCAAAACAGCTTACTAGGCTCAGCGCTTTCTGGCGGGAAGCTGGGTAGGGGTTAAGCACAGAGGAGAATGAGCAAACAAACCCCCTCCAGGGCCCACCACCCCAACCCAAACAATGGCTACCCTTGCCTTTCCCTCCTCCTTTGGTCACTCCCCACAGCCCCAGAGCCCTCCCTAAGCCAAGCATTCATAGGAGTGTGGAGAAAAGGAGAGGTTTACCTGAGGCTTCATGGTTAGCTCCTGGCCGGCGCAGCACACAGATGGGCACCAGGCTGCAGAGGAGGGTGAGCACCAGCAGCAGCACCAGGGCCCCCAACTTCACCTCCAGCCCCACAGGCACTGGAGGCTCTGAAGCTACCGCCTCTGGGCGCCACACCAGGAGCTCTGGCTCTCCCCAGGGCCCCATGGTGCTGCTGGTAGCTCCAGTGACTCTCAGACCTAGGAAGACAGACCACAGTGGGTGGGGAAAAATCATGCAAGGGAAGATGGGGCAAGGAATGGAGAAGCTTGGTCAGCAGAGTGCAGCTCCCTGGCCCCAGCCACTTTGTGACCTTCCCCAACCCAGGGTGACTCATCTACTCCTGTACCAGGAACATTCCTCTCTTCTCACACTTTCTTTCCCAAGTGACTTATTCAGGGAGACTGCAAGGGGGAAACCTAGGCCTGAGAAAGGCTGTATGGGTATCTCATCACCCTTTCACCTGGCGCCCCCAGCGAACTAGGAAACTAGGAGCCGCCTCCAAATAGGACCTGGAGCTGGAGTTCCCCTAAGGAATGTAGAGGCCAGGTCCCCAACTCCCGAACGGAGTGGGTGAAGCCAAAAAGGCTGGGGCTGTGCAGAGATGTCATGGGTATCTTCGTGGGTCGCCTGGACAGGGTAAGTTTGGGTGCTGGATCGCTCCATCGTTCCCCTTTTCCCAGCGTAGAGAGCAAGCGCTTCAGGCCCCAGGCTGGGACCTAGAGGCAGATGGCCAAGGAGAGGGGCCCTAAGAGTCTGCGGTCCCGGGACGGACTAAGGCGACACTGAGGGCGGTGCCTGAAAGTCCGGGCTCCAGGAGGCGGGGTGCGAGGCCGCCAGCGTCGCGGGAAGCAGATGAAGAATGCGTGAACTGGGACTCCTGCTCCCGGGCCCGGGGAGGCCTGGGCAGCCCGACCCGGACCCCGCTCCCAGAGAGCCCGCACTCACCTCCCGAGGGTCTCACTACATGGTCTCCGCGCGCTTCCGGCCTAGAGTCGGGAATTCCCGCCCCCTCGCATAGCTCTCCCCTCCCCCACAGAGGCCGCGTACCCACGCCCGACTGCCAATGGCAGCGCCGAGTGGGCGGGGACAGACCGGGAGTGACGTGAGTTAGTAGCAATCAGAGACCGGGAGCGGGCGGAGCAGGCGACGAGAGGAGAGTGAGCGAGAGCGAGGGCGGAGATTAGGAAAAGGACCTCGGGGCTGGTGCCCTGGGGCGCATCTGTGGAGGACTGACTGGCCGGAGCGGGCCGGTCAACAAAGGCTTTGATTATATGGATATTTTTAAAAGAGGGAGACCCCGCACTGTCAAGTCTTCCGGCCCACATCTGAAGACATGTTCCTGGCCTTGGGCCAGTCTCATCTGTCTCTCAGAAGGCTCTGACACCCCGTCAGTGCCTCTTGGCGCCCAAGGGAAGGCATTCCCTTCTTGTCACCAATTTCCTTGCCTGCTTTCCCTCGCCAGCACCCACAACAAGGAAAAAGACAAAGCAGAATTGGAAAACGGGGAAAGCAAAGAGAGAGGGTATGTTTTGAAAATCATCTCTTCTCGACTACTCCTGACACTCAGTGCAGCCTCCGCCTTCTCCAGGTGGGTGGGGACGTGGTGGGACCGGAATGCGTGGTGCTGAAGCCACGCCCAGGGAAGAGCCCCCAGCGCATTCCAGGCTACCTGCGCACCGCGCCTGCGGGCATCTGGCCAGCTCCCGCCACCCTCGCCGGTCTGCTTGCTGTTTGCTGTTCCTTGAATGCCCCAAGGTAGTTGTTTCAGCTCAGGACTTTCACCGTTTCCTCAACCTGGATTCTCGTGACTCGCAACCCTCTGCTATGAGAATCCTCTTCTAGCCTCAAGGGACGGTAAAGACAAAAGAAAATTTAAAAAGGGGGCCAAGCTGTTCTTTTATGCAAAGGTGAAAAAAGCTTCATTGCCTAAAGAAGGAGATGGGATCTTGCTTCCTACAGCAAAATTAATTTTAAAAAATGAAAGAAAGAAAGAAAGAAAGAAGAAAGAAAGAAAAAAAGAAAGAAAGAAAAGAACAGTGTAATGCTTCTCACAAGGCTCCAGAAACGAAGGCCAGTAATTCCTTAAGTAAAAGAAGAATGTGAAGACTTCTTAAGGAGCTGGGCGCGGTGGTCCACGCCTGTAATCCCAGCATTTTGGAAGGCCGAGGAGGGTGGATCACCTGAGGTCAGAAGTTCAAGACCAGCCTGGTCAACATGGTGAAACCCCGTCTGACTAAATATACAAAAATTAGCCGGTCGTGGTGGCGGACGCCTGTAATCCCAGCTACTTGGGAGGCTGAGGCTGAAGCAGGAGAATCGCTTGAACCCGGGAGCCGGAGGTTGCAGTGAGCCAAGATCTCGCCACCGCACTCCAGCCTGGGCGACAGAGCGAGACTCCCCGTCTCAAAACAAACAAACAAACAAACAAAAAATTGGCCGGGCGCGGTGGCTCACGCCTGTAATACCAGCACTTTGGGAGGCCGAGGCGGGCGGATCGCGAGGTCAGGAGATCCAGACCATCCTGGCTAACGTGGTGAAACCCCCGTCTCTACTAAAAAAAAAAAAAAAAAAAAAAAAAAAAAATTAGCTGGGTGTGGTGGCGGGCGCCTGTAGTCCCAGCTACTTGGGAGGCTGAGGCAGGAGAATGGCTTGAACACGGGAGGCGGAGCTTGCAGTAAGCAGAGACCGTGGACCACTGCACTCCAGCCTGGGCGATAGAGCGAGACTCCGTCTCAAAAAAAAAAAAAAAATTATTCGTAATTGGTATCATTAACAAGGAATTATGACTGGAGGGGTCAGGAAACCTGGACTCTGGTCCAAGCTCTACCTTTATAGTTGTCAAATATATACATATATATATACACATACAGATATGTCATATATGACTAATAGTTGTATATATTTATGGTGTACAACATGATGTTTTGAAATATATGTACATTGGGGCTGGGCGCGGTGGCTCACGCCTGTAATCGCAGCACTTTGGGAGGCCGAGGCGGGTGGATCACGAGGTCAGGAGATCAGGATCATCCTGGCTAACACGGTGAAACCTCGTCTCTACTAAAAATACAAAAAATTAGCCGAGCGTGGTGGCAGATGCCTGTAGTCCCAGCAACTGGGAGGCTGAGACAGGAGAATGGCGTGAACCCGGGATGCGGAGCTTGCAGTGAACCGAGATCTTGCCACTGCACTCCAGCCTGGGCGACAGAGCGAGACTCCGTCTCAAAAGAGAAAAAAACAAAAACAAAAACTTGTCAGCTCTATTTGCTGTAAGAACTATATGAGTAACATGAAAATGCCTGACTAGACCCTGTTCCTGTTTTTACTCTTAGCTCGTTCAAATCTTCATGAGGATAATTAACAGCAGTTTGAGTTCTGGGATTCACACTCCAAACTACTGTTTTACTCACCCAGCTACCCTTTTCTGAAATACTACTGGAAAATCATACCTGTATCAGTTAACCTCCATTATTTTATTTGAAGTGAATTCCTGGACCATGAGACATTAGACCAAAGCTAAAAATAAAAATAAAAAAATCAATCAACCCTGAGTTTTGGTATTACTGCTTTCAAGTCATGGATCTGCCTCCTCATAGGTAAAATTTGCAAAATATTACCCGCCGTGTGTGCCTCAGAACCGTTATGGATTAAGGAAGAGAACAATGTTTATGAAAACGTTTTGTAAATTATACAAATGTGGGACATAATGTTCCTGGTAACTGTATGCAAACAATAAGACAACAAAACAAACGCAAAAGCCTTTTTAACTTGTTGCAGTTTTCCTGCCCGGTGTCCCCTCCGCGAATGAGCAGCGTGCAGCGAGCATGTGCGCGCAGTTGCGGTTCTCCATCAACGCCACACTGCTCGGCCTGCGGACGGGGAAACCTGCCATCGCGCGCCTGCGGCCTGCCGAGCGAGGCTCACGGTTCCACTGGGGTCAGTGGGCTATTGACTCCCCGCCTGGGTGAAACCGGAGCTTCCGAGTCACGTGGCGCGCGAAGACAAACCAGGCTGCTCAGGGTTTCCCGTAGCTTTCCCCCAGCTTCCTGGCGATTCATATTCTGGCGCTTACCCCTCCCTTTGGTCCGGCGGAACCCAATCCCCGCCTGACAAGTAAGTCCCGCCGGCCGGACGCGGTGGCGCGCGCCTGTGGTCCCAGCTGCTCAAGGTGCTGAGGCGGGAGAATCACCTGAGCCCGGGAGGTCGGGGGCTGCATGGAACCGTGATCGCACCACCGCACTCCAGCCTGGGCAACTAAGCGAGACCCTGCCTCCAAAAATAAGAATAAAGAAAAAAAAAAAAAAAAAAAGAACTGCGGCCCCATTGGCCTGACTCTCCTGAACAGCCTAGCTGTCTCCGACCAGTTACGGAGGAGGCGGCCTTGAGAGGGTAGTGCCCATTGGCTCGATGTCCTGCCCTTCCGAAACCTAAGTCTTTAGCTTCCAATCAGGACTCAGCTTTGGGAAGAGCGCCACGCGGTGGGCGAGAGGATGCCCTAGTAAATCCGCAGGTCTTTTGACTCTTTCCGCCTTTGTTTACAGCCCTATTGTGATCTCCCTGTTGAAAAAGCGAGGGCTAAAGAACAGGCATTCAAATATCCTGTGCTCCAGTCACAGCCTTTTCTATTCTTCCGCTAGGAGACACCAAACCCTGGGGAAGATTTACTATAGCTAAGAGAAAACTGAAGCAGAAAGGGCGCGGCTACCTACTTCTTAAATTCCGTTTGTGGACCCTCAGACTCTTAGTCCCCTACTCCCAGATACAGCGGCCCTGCCGTGGCTCCTGGCAAGGTGGCACCCACTTTTGTAGTGTAAGGATGGGGGCGGGGTTTGGCTGGGCAGGTCCAGGATACGAGATCCTGGAGGAAAGAAAAGGTGGTGTGTTTGGGGCGGTCAACGGGCTACGCTGGCTTGACAGGGCTGGACTCTTCAGAACAGGTAATGCTTGGGGGGCCTGTTTGTCTGAACCTGAGGGAAAGGGCTGAAGGTGAAATATCCAGGGGACAGGTGAGGGGGCTTGCTAGTGAGAAAGCGCGGGGGGCGGGGGAGCAGGGACAATAGAAGAGGGAGCAGAGGAGCCCAGAAACTGTAGGGTGTAGGAAGCAGCCATCATTCCCTTTCTGCAACCCTCTGCCTCACACGCCTTCCTGCAGAAGCATGGATCTCGGTATCCCTGACCTGCTGGACGCGTGGCTGGAGCCCCCAGAGGATATCTTCTCGACAGGATCCGTCCTGGAGTTGGGACTCCACTGCCCCCCTCCAGAGGTTCCGGTGACTAGGCTACAGGAACAGGGACTGCAAGGCTGGAAGTCCGGTGGGGACCATGGCTGTGTGAGTGTGATGAGTGGGAGTTGGGGTGGGGTTGAGACACAACTCTGTTGTAAGAGGCTTCAGCTCCCACTTGGAGACAGGTCTGAAAACAGACCACCCCGAAAATAGATGTAAGTTGTATAATAACTATCTCCATGCCCAAGAAATGAATGGACTGAAAATGAAGCATAAGGCTGATGTCAGGTAGGACTTCCAAAATTCTTCCCCGCACATATAACCTTTTCCTACTGTAGGGCCTTCAAGAGAGTGAGCCTGAAGATTTCTTGAAGCTTTTCATTGATCCCAATGAGGTGTACCGCTCAGAAGCATCTCCTGGCAATGACAGTGGCACCTCTGAGGACCCCTGCCGTCCAGACAGTCCCCCTGCCCCCAGGGCAACCAGTTCTCCTACGCTCTATGAAGTTGTCTATGAGGCAGGGGCCCTGGAGAGGATGCAGGGGGAAACTGGGCCAACTGTAGGCCTCATCTCCATCCAGCTAGGTCAGTGTTCTTTGTGGGAAGGGGAAAATGGCCCTTCGAGACTGGCTCTAACCATGGGGTTAAGGGGGTTTACCCAACCTGTGCCACTACCCAGGCCCTGCTGCTGTCAGGGTCCCTAAGTATCCTTTCTCCCAGCTACCTGTTTTCTACTCCAGATCAGTGGAGCCCAGCATTTATGGTACCTGATTCCTGCATGGTCAGTGAGCTGCCCTTTGATGCTCATGCCCACATCTTGCCCAGAGCAGGCACCTTAGCCCCAGTGCCTTGTACAACCCTGGTGAGTCTTGGTGTCAGCCAGAACCACTACTCCTTGATACATATGTAATGACACAGACAGGGCAAAGGGATGAGGGAATAGAAACTGATGATGAACTGCCTTTGCCCCAGTTTTTGTGGCATTGGGCCTGAAGACCAAGGAGACATGAACAGTTGAACAATTTTTTATTTTTTGAGCCAGGGTCTTACTCTGTCATCCAGGTTGGAGTGCAGTGGTGCAGTCATGGCTCACTGCATCCTCAATGTCTTGGGCTCAAGCAATCCTCCCACCTCAGCCTTCTGAGTAGCTGGGACTACAGGTATGTGCCACGTCTGGCTAATTTTGGTAGAGATGGGGTTTTGAGGTTTCGCCATGTTGCCCAGGCTCAGGCTCGTCTGAATCTCCTGAGTTCAAGCGATCTCCCTACCTCAGCCTCCCAAAGTAATGGGATTACAGGCATGAGCCACGGTGCCCGGCCAACATGAACAATATGGAGTCTCACTCTGTCACCCAGGCTGGAGTGCAGTGGCACAATCTCAGCTCAACTGCAACCTCCGCCTCCTGGGTTCAAGTGATTCACCTGCCTCAGCCTCCCAAGTAGCTGGGACTACAGGTGCCTGCCACCACACCTGGCTAATTTTTGTATTTTTAGTAGAGACGGGGTTTCACCATATTGGCCAGACTGGTCTTGAACTCCTGACTTTGTGATCCGCCTGCCTCAGCTTCCCAAAGTGCTGGGATTACAGGTGTGAGCCACCGTGCCCGGCCCAACATGAACAATTTTAAAAGCAGGAAAGGACAAGAGAGAGAGAACCCTTGTGGGTAAGGTAGCAACAACTCAGTTAAGGTGGGGTGAGGGAATCTGGGGACAGGGCTCAGGAGAAAGCCCAGACTTTGTGTGCATTGTATTCTTAGCCAGAGCCATTATCTCGGCCTTGGGTCAGGACACAGAAATGGGACAGGCCACCTGGGAATCCCAACTGGTTATAGGTACAGGAAGGAAGAAAAGCAATAGCAGCAATGTTTCCACTGGAACAGTTGCCCAGGAGGCACCCACTGGCTAGTGCTACAGTGTAGCAGAGGTATCACATTAGATGCTTTCTCAAGGCCGGCTGGGCAGAGTCCAAGGCCAGGTAAAGAGGAGGCTGTGCTCAGATCACTGTTCCTCCCTTTCCTCTGAAAATTACTTCTTGTACCCAAAAGGCAGGGACCAGGTCCTAGCCTCTCTTCAAATCTGCAGTTGAAGCTGGGACCAAAAGCCAAGTTAAGCATCTTAGAATCTTTTTTTTTAAAAAAAACAGAGTCTCTCTATGTCACTAGGCTGGAGTGCAATGGTGCCATCTCAGCTCACTGCAACCTCTGCCTCCCAGGTTCAAGCGATTCTCCTGCCTCAGCCTCCTGAGTAGCTGGGACTACAGGCTCGTGCCACCATGCCCAGCTAATTTTTTTTTTTTTTTTTGAGATGGAGTCTCGCTCTGTCGCCCAGGCTGGAGTGCAGTGGTGCAATCTTGGCTTACTGCAAGCTCCGCCTCCTGGGTTCACGCCATTCTCCTGCCTCAGCCTCCTGAGCAGCTGGGACTAGAGGTGTCTGCCACCACGCCCGGCTAATTTTTTGTATTTTTAGTAGAGACAGGTTTCACCATGTTAGCCAGGATGGTCTCCATCTTCTGACCCCGTGATCTGCCCGCCTCGGCCTCCCAAAGTGCTGGGATTACAGGCGTGAGCCACCGCGCCTGGCCTAATTTTTGTATTTTTAGTAGAGGCAGGGTTTCACCATGTTGGCCAGGCTGGTCTCAAATTTCTGACCTCAGGTAATCCGCCCACCTTGGCATCCCAAAGTGCTGGGATTACAGGCGTGAGCCACCGTGCCCGGCCACATACATCTTTCAAAAAGAAATACTAGTGAGAAAGTCAAGTTACTCAGTTGATGGGCTCAGGTTCACCACCAGCACCATCTACTCTCCCTACATCCTCTCTTGTGATTTGCTGTGAGACATATGGCTGCCTTTGGGAAGCTTCATATGAGAGGGGACAGAACCTTAGTCTGGGAAGCGGAGCTCAGACCCTAGGGGAGAATAGGCCACTGCCCCAGGGAATTCCCTGTGGTTGACATGCAACTGAATAACACATTCTGCTAAATGGAAGTTAATGGCTGAAAGTGAATCATGTGCTTGCTGTAAGGAAATTACGTAAACTTCACTGTAGTGAGTTCTTTCAGGTTCTCTTGGGTATGGGGAGACATGGACCAGAATAAGCCTTCCCTAGCTTGCTCAGAGTGCCAAGGTCCTAAGTCTCTGGGTGAAGGATATGACAATACCCTCCTCTCTCCCTTCTTGGCCTCAGGAAGTCCCTTTGGCTTGATCTAGAACCTGTCGGAATTAAGGTCTCTGCCCCTCACCTCACCTCTAGATTAAAGTTGTCTCCCAGTGCAAATAGGAAGCGCTTTCCAGAAGGCATGTAGAGGGAGTAGCCTGGGTGTTGCAAATGGGATGACCCCCTCCTCAATCCTATTGCATCTTCTCCTGCCCCTACCCCCAGCTGCCCTGTCAAACCCTGTTCCTGACGGATGAGGAGAAGCGTCTGCTGGGGCAGGAAGGGGTTTCTCTGCCCTCTCACCTGCCCCTCACCAAGGTAACATGCTTCCCCCTAAGGGTATCCCAACCCAGGGGCCTCACCATGACCCTGGCCAATATCCCAGGAGAAGCACTGGGGAGCTGGGGGCAGGTGAAGGACCCAGGACTCACACATCCTGGGCCTCCAGGCAGAGGAGAGGGTCCTCAAGAAGGTCAGGAGGAAAATCCGTAACAAGCAGTCAGCTCAGGACAGTCGGCGGCGGAAGAAGGAGTACATTGATGGGCTGGAGAGCAGGTATGCCTGGGTTATTTCTGGCTTCCTGTGGGCCATGTCTGGGCCCCTTCCTCACCACGGCAGGGAAAATAAGGGACTCAGGTTGCTGAGCCTTGTCCTACCTCCCCACACTCTAGGGTGGCAGCCTGTTCTGCACAGAACCAAGAATTACAGAAAAAAGTCCAGGAGCTGGAGAGGCACAATATGTGAGTGAAAGCGTTTGTGTGTGTGTGTGTGTGTGTGTTTTGAAGGCGGGTACAGCACACAGGGGCGCCATTCTTGGCTCCTGGTACCCAGAAGATACTAACTCTTCATTCCTCCTTTCCCAGCTCCTTGGTAGCTCAGCTCCGCCAGCTGCAGACGCTAATTGCTCAAACTTCCAACAAAGCCGCCCAGACCAGCACTTGTGTTCTGGTACCATTAGTCTATCTACTCCCATCTGCCCCCACGTCCACCATCTTCCCCCACACTTCTATCCTTATACCCCGACTACCCAGCCAGATCTACTTCCCACATCCGATAACCCCAGCTGGCCTCCATTCACTCTGCCCCCTACTCCCTTCCTCTGTTCCTCTTGCTTCCTCCCAGATTCTTCTTTTTTCCCTGGCTCTCATCATCCTGCCCAGCTTCAGTCCATTCCAGGGTCGACCAGAAGCTGGGCCTGAGGATTACCAGCCTCACGGAGGTGAGAGGCAAGGGCAGGGAGCAACCCCTGGCTGAGCAAGGGATGGGGACTGTGTTCTCCAAGGTCGTCAAGAAGCAAGAGGGAGGTCCTGTCCTGTCTAGGGTCTCCCACCCAGGGGAGCACTCTACTACTGCCTTCTTTCCTTCACCTCACAGTGACTTCCAGAAATATCCTGACCCACAAGGACATAACAGAAAATCTGGAGACCCAAGTGGTAGAGTCCAGACTGAGGGAGCCACCTGAAGCCAAGGATGCAAATGACTCAACAAGGACACTGCTTGAGAAGATGGGAGGGAAGCCAAGACCCAGTGGGCGCATCGGGACCGTGCTGCATGCAGATGAGATGTGAGCTGGAACACACCTTCCTGGCCCACTTGCTGATCACAAGGAATCCTGGGCTTCCTTACGGCTTTGCTTCCCACTGGGATTCCTACTTAGGTGTCTGCCCTCAGGAATCCAGATCACTTCAGGACACCCCAAGAGATGTCCTTTAGTCTCTCTCTGCCTTAGGCCCAGTCTGCATTTGTTTGCATATATGAGAGGGTACCTCAAATACTTTTGTTATGTATCTATGATTTTATTTCTTCTTTGGGGATAGGGTTGAGGGGAAATAAGTTTTGAGTGATAAATAAACGTTTTAACTGAAATTGTATCCCAGAAGTCTCATATAAGTAGTAGAAGAGGGGGAAAACAAGGGAGAAGTGGTGGGGAAGACTTGGTAGATTAGGGCCTTAAGTAGCCACCTCCTTTCCCTCTCTGCCCCCATGACTTCCTGCTCCAAGTTACAGAAGGGAAGGAAACCATTTTACTCTTTTTATTCTGCTCATTAATGATCTGAAAGAAGAGGACGGGGAAAAGGGGATTCCACCACAAGGCTCCAAAGAACCAAGAGTGCAAATCAGTCCATTTCACTTTCACTGTCTGAGATTGGGTCTCTAAGACCCAGGATAAAAGGGTGGAATGTAGCTATATGGACTCAATTTGCTTCCGGACCTTTTCCAGAGCCTTTCTGTCCAGTTGTCGCTGACGAATGATGACAAGACAAGCGAAGATCAGGGCCACAAACACAACAGCCCCTTCGAACTTCCAGAATAAGTGTTGTTCCATCAAAGCTGAGCGGCAGCTGAGGGCAGGAAGGAATAGTTATTCCCAGGGAAGGCCAGACAGCTTCTCCCTCTAATCTCCCTTCTACTTCAGCCTAGCCAGGATATATTCAAGAGGAAATCAGAGCCAGGCTTCTGTTGTGTGTATAGTACATAAATCCCTCTCAAATAGATCATTTAATTTATTCTCTGGATAAGCAGAGCTAGTATTAACCAATTTTACTGATGAGAAAATATGGCCAATAACATAATGCTGAGGAATAGAGCTGGAACTTGGGTTCAAGTAATTTGGCTCCAAATCCCGTCTTCCTTGTTTCTTATTTATTTTTGAGATGGTGTCTCATTCTGTCACCCAGATTGGAGTGCAGTGGTGTGACCTTGGCTCACTGAGGTCACACCACTCCCCTGCCCAGGTTTAAGCAGTTCTCTGCCTCAGCCTCCCAAGTAGCTGGGATTACAGGTGCCTGCCATCATGCCCGGCTAATTTTTGAATTTTTAGTAGAGACGGGGTTTCACCATCTTGGCCAGCCGGTATTGAACTCCTGACCTCGTGATCCACCCGCCTCAGTCTCCCAAAGTGCTGGGATTACAGGTGTGAGCTACCCCTTCCGGCCTTTTTTTGTTTGTTTGTTTTGAGACACAGTCTCACTCCATCGCCCAGGCTGGAGTGCAGTGGCATGATCTTGGCTCACTTTAACCTCTGCCTCTTAGGTTCAAGCGATTCTCCCTGCCTCAGCCTCCCGAGTAGCTGGGATTATGGGCACCCACCACCACACCGGCTAATTTTTGTATTTTTAGTAGAGATGGGGTTTCACCACGTTGGCCAGGCTGATCTTGAACTCCTGACCTTAGGTGATCCGTTAGCCTCAGCCTCCCAAAGTGCTGGGATTATAGGTGTGAGCCCGGCCACCTCTTCTTTCAAATATTCCATGCTACTGCCAGACCAGGGGAAAAGGTGGGACCATCCATCTAAAGTCATAGGAGCAAAGGAGGTAATCCAGAGAAGAGAAACAGCACTCACCTTTTGAACTCAATTCTCTTAGATGAGCTGCATGTGATTTTCTCTACATACCCTGTGGGACCACACTCAGGGGTAGTTTTCTGCCAGGAGAAAAGAAGCAAAGTACATGTTAGGAAGGGGCAACAGGAAAAACAAAAAGGCTGCCATTCAGAAGGTGCAGGTGCCCAACTATTATGGTTTGGAGTGATAGGCAACAGAGAGCTAATGAAAGAGTTCTGATGCGGATGGTGGAGGTGGTGGCTGCATGTTAGAACACTTCAGAGGCAACAATCTAGGAGAGGCAAGCATACATTCCATTCCAGAGCCTACTATACTAAAAGTGAATAAAACATAGTTATCATCTGAGGCCAGGCGCGGTGGCTCACGCCTGTAATCCCAGCACTTTGGAATGCTGAGGCAGGCAGATCATGAAGTGAGGAGTTAAGAGACCAGCCTGGCCAACATAGTGAAACCCGAGTCTACTAAAAATACAAAAATTAGCCAAGCAAGGTGGAACGCGCCTTCAGTCCCAGTTAGCTACTCGGGAGGCTGAGGCAGGAGAATTGCTTGAACCCGGGAGGTGGAGGTCGTGGTGAGCCGAGACCACGCCACTGCACTCCAGCCTGGGCAACAGAGTGAGACTCCATCTCAAAAACAAACAAACAAACAAACAAAAAAACCATAGTTATCAGTTGAATACTGCCATTAGCTTGGAAAGAAAGGGGCACATTTTCAGGGGAAAGGCAAGTACAGATTTGGACATACACTGAGACCGCAAGAAGAAAGAAAAAAAGATGATGCAAAGGCAGCTTAATAAGACTTGGATGTTAAGATGTTGCTTAAGTGTTTGCTTGGATGTCCAAAAAAAAAAAAAAAAAAAAAAAAAAGGCGGGGGGGTAGAGAAACAGATACTCACAGCCTGGAAATTAGAGCATGGAGAGCACTCTGTTGTTACCACAAACTCTTCCACCAGCCAACATGGCAAATTTGAGGTGCTCGCTGAAAGGAAAGATAAATGCCAATCCCAGACCATTCAGAAAACATTTCTCCCAAAGGCTCTGCCCATCCAAATTCCCGGCACAGCGCTTGCCCTCATTCTATGTGGTGCCGCCCTTTTCCACCTGTGCTCTTGGTATATGGGGAAGATACTAAAACCAAAAACAAACGACGGAAGTGTCGGGTTCCCAGACAATCACCCACCTGACAGCTTCTCCTCCTGCACGGGAGCCTCTGCTTGACTGTAGCGGAGTGGGCGGAAGGGACGAAAGTCAAAATCCAGAAAATAGGGCACCCCCTCCTGCGCTGTCCATGGATAAGGTCTCCCCCAACCCCGGGGCCGGGAGCGATCCTGTCCTCCAGTGACCTCCTTTTCCCTCCCCTTACCCCCTCCTTACCAGAGCTTTAAGGTGAAAGCACAGAGCAACCAGCAGAGGTGGCGGCCCTGGGGGAGGCCATGCCTCCCGGAGCCCGCAGGCATGGAGCGCTAAGTGTCGCACCTGTCGGAACAGAGGGACCTACTCCGCAGGCCTCGTGCCTCCGTCAGAGCGCAGAGGCGGCACTTACTCTGCAGCCCTCCCAGAGGTTCCAGGTCAGGGCAGGGAAGGCCGAAGTTGCCTGTCGGAGCAGAGGATCTTTCGGGACGTCCCCGTTGCCACAGCGAGAAAAATCGATTACGCGTTTGTGGGCTAGGAAGGCGAGCGCCTTCTGCGGGGTCCACAGGGCGCTGGAGGAAGGGCCGGCGGGGGCGCACGGCCCTAGCGCCCGCTCACCTCCGCTCCCGCCCCCGACGCAGCCATCTAGCCCCGTGGATGATCCTCGGGCGCTGGCCCGAGCTGGGGGCCCGGTGTTCCCGGGCGCGTTCCGTCGTAGCCCGCTGGGGCTTGTAGTCTTCCGCGGTCGGTGGCGCCTCGCCTGCTGGGAATTAGCTCGGCGCCCCGTTGCATTGTGGTCCCGGTAGTCTTTGCGAGAATAGCAAATGGCGGTTGCGGAGGCTCGTCTGGATTCTTGGCTCGCTGCTCCCTGGCTGGCGCCTGTTTGTTCATTCTGGGCTGGTGAGCAGGGACAATACGTCGCCGTCTCAGGACTTTGCTCTCTCCTTAAAACCCTAGGATTCACCGTCAAGCTTCAGTTTGTCATCCTTCTGCAGCTGCCCCTTCATCGCCACTGATGGTCCAGTGGAGAAGCTGTGTTGGAGGTCAAGGGATGGAGGCGAAACTGCGCGTTCTCGTCCCTGCAGAAGCGGGAATATCCGAGGCACATGGCGAACGTGAAACTTTCTCCTTGTCTCTTGGCTCCCACTCCGCTACACAGATGAACGGTGTCACCTTCCCTCCTGTTACTTGCTAAGCCTACTCCGCAGAGCTGGTCCTTTGCATAACCTCTTCAAATGTTCTCAACTCTCCCTTGCTCCTACATAGTGGAGTAATCATAAGTGTAATGAGAAAAGCATGAGATTTGAAGTTCCAATAAGTGTTGAGTCTAGGTTCTGGTGGTTATTAACTCCATGATTTTAGGACAGTATCTGACTCGCAGTGTTCTGTGTGAAACGGAAATGCTAATATGCATTTACCAGGACTTTTTCTTGCGAGAGGCAAATGAAATGTGTCTCCATTTCATGAGTAAGTTCAGAGAATATAAGTGACTTGTCCAAGGTCAGCAAGCTAGTGAGTGGGAAAGCTGAGGCTTGAGCCTAGACTGTCAACACCCAGGCCAGAGATTCATTGCCTGCTTTTCATCCTATGTAGTGAAACCTTGATATACACTCAGACCTGCAGTGACTTGACCAGCACTCTGGGTTCATGCTTTACTGTCTGATAATGAATTTTCATTTACTTTTATTTTTTTTCTTAGGGTCTCGGTCTGTCACCCAGGCCAGAATGCAGTGGTGTGATCATGGTTCACTGCAACCTCCCCGTCCTGGGTTCGAGGGATCCTCCCACCTCAACCTCCCGAGTAGCTGGGACCATAGGCACGTGCCACCATGCCTGGCTAAAATTTTTTGTATTTTTGGTAGAGAGGAGGTTTTGCCATGTTGCCCAGGCTGATCTGGAACTCCTGAGCTCAAGGGATCCACCTGCCTCCATCTCAGCTTCCCAAAGTGCTGGGATTACAGGCGTAAGCCACCGCCCTGGGCCTTGGTAATGTATTAATCTAACCTAATTCTGCCCTAATTTGCCCCCTAGTTTCACATATGTGTTAACTGCAGCCTCCCAAGACATTGGGACCATGTGATTTTAGTTTTCTTAGATGCTCGATAGACAAGGAGGTACTTAAATAAACCTCATATAAACATGGGCGCTAATAAAATAATGTGGACCCCACCTCTGAAGACCAAAGGGCTTATTTCCATATTTTTTTTCTTGTTAATTCTGCTCCCCATTCTCCTCCCCCAAGGCATCTTTCTGGGCTAAAGACCACTGCTTCTACCCTCCCCAACAGCTTTAAAGGATAGAACACTTTATTTTGGGATTGACAGTGTATCTGGCTGGGCGCGGTGGCTCACGCCTGTAATCCCAGCACTTTGGGAGGCCGAGGTGGGTGGATCACCTGAAGTCGGGAGTTTGAGACCAGCCTGACCAACATGGAGAAACCCTACCTCTACTAAAAATACAAAATTAGCTGGGCATGGTGCCGTATGCCCGTAATCCCAGCTACTTGTGAGGGTAAGGCAGGAGAATCACTTGAACCTGGGAGGTAGAGATTGTGATGAGCCGAGATCACACCATTGTACTCCAGCCTGGGCAACAAGAGTGAGACTTCCAGTCCTCCACGAATAACGGAAAAAAGAAGAGACACGTAAACCCGTCTCTACTAAAAATCAAAAAATAGCGGCCGTTGGGCCTGTAGTCCCAGCTACTCGGGGCTGAGGCAGGAGATGGCGTGAACCTGGGGCGGAGCTTGCAGTGAGCCGAGATCGCGCCACTGCACTCCAGCTGGGACAGAGCGAGACTCCGTCTCAAAAAAAAAAAAAAAAAAAAAAAAAAAAAGAAAAAAAAAGAACTTAAACATAAGCCACAAATAAGGCTTATCATTACCCCATCAATGCTTGGATACTTACTGCATTTATCAAGTTATTACATTTTGCTGTGTAAAAAATATTATGTATGGTGAAAGGGGGATATATATATTATATATTAAAATATACATTATAAATAATTATATATTATATAATTTTATAATATATATTTATGTATTTTATATATTTATATTTTATAAATTATATATTATACTTATATTTATGTTATATGTAATTATAAATTGTAATATATAATATATATATACTTAAGGATGCTGTTCATCAAGCCTGAATTTTCTTTTTTTTTTTTAAGATGGAGTCTGTCTCCAGGCTGGAGTGTAATGGCGCTATCTCTGCTCACCACAACCTCCGCCTCCCAGGTTCAAGTGATTCTCCTGCCTCAGCCTCCCGAGTAGCTGGGATTACAGGCACCCGCCACCATACCCAGCTAAATTTTTTGTATTTTTAGTAGAGATGGGGTTTCGTCATGTTGGGCAGGCTGGTCTCGAACTCCCAACCTGAAGTGATTCACCCACCTTGGCCTCCCAAAGGGCTGGGACTACAGGCGTGAGACACTGTGCCCAGCCCAAGCCTGAATTCTCATTTGCATTTCCAGTAGTTTTGCCATCTTTGTTATTCAGTAAGGAGCTGTTTTTGTTTTTGTCTTTTTGAGACAGAGTCTGGCTGTGTTGCCCAGGCTGGAGTGCAGTGGCGTGATCTCGGCTCACTGCAACCTCCGCTTCCCAGGTTTAAGCGGGTCTCCTGCCTCAACATCCCAAGTAGCTGGGACTACAGGCACCCTCTAATTTTTTTTTATTTTTAGTAGAGACAGGGTTTCACTATGTTGGCCAGGCTGGTTTTGAACTCCTGTCGTGATCCACCATGCCCAGCCAAAGAGCTGTTTTTGTTAAAATTTGCTTGTCCCGGGCTGGGCGCAGTGGCTCACGCCTGTAATCCCAGCAGTTTGGGAGACTGAGGCAGGACAATCACTTGAGCCCATGAGTTCAAGACCAGCCTGGCCAACATGGCAAAACCCTGTCTCTACTAAAAACACAAAAATTAGCCAGGTGTGGTGGTACATGACTGTAGTCCCAGCTACTCGGGAGGCTGAGTCAGAAGAATCACTTGAACCCAGGAGGCAGAGGCTGCAGTGAGCTGGGATCATGCCACTGCACTCCAGCCTGGGCGACAGAGCCAGACTCGGTTTAAAAAAAAATAATAATGTCCTTGTACCACCCAAGGGCTATATTAACTGACTATTGTGGCCAGACGTGGTGGCTCATGCCTGTAATCCCAGCTACTTGAGAGGCTAAGGCAGGAGGCAGAGGTTGCAGTGAGCCGAGATCACACTGTTGCACTCCAGCCTGGGAGACAGAGCAAGACTCTGTCTCTAAAAATAAATGAATAAATAAATAAAATAACTGGCCATAGTGCCTGGCACTTAGTAGACGCTCAATATATATTTAAATTACTCAATAGACATCTATGAATAAATGAACTTCTCATTTTCCTCACTAATAAAAGCAGATATTAATGCCTATCAAATACCTAAATGGATTGCTGGCAGAATCAAAGAAGCTTGCACAAATCACTGGATAAAACACTAGGTGCAGTTATTTCCCTGAGGCTAGGACTGTTAAGAGTCCTTCTCGCTTGGAATTTCCTGTGCTCAGGACAAGGCTCTGCCCACAAGGGCATCCAGACCCCATAGCGGAAAGAGGATATCCAGACCTTCAGATCACTCTAGCTCCTGCTCTTTGCTATTTTCCTTACCAACTGAACAGCGGGGAAGAGACAGCGGTAGGATTAGTCCAGGTTCCACAGAAACCCAGCCTGATTCAGGCAGATCAATCACTTTGAAGACACAGTAATTGGATTTGAGTGGAGAACAATTCTGACAATAATCCAAGTTACCCAAAACAGGAACATTTGTGCAAATGGTGGCCTTTATTAAAGACCATGAAAAGTGACAGAACAGGAGCAAATCTGCTAGTGTAGTGCCGAGCTAGCCCTTTGCAGGACCCTAAAACCTGATCTAGTAACAGAATAAATCAGTGTATTTACATTTATGTTTGCCCTGAAAACCCAGGTAAGGTCTGAAGCCTGAGGCCATCTCCCCTTCCTTTCCTCCTCCCTCTTCTTACCTCCTTACCTTCTTTCACTTCCTCAATCGGTTCCTCTCCCTTCTCCCTCCTCTCTCTTCCTTCTTTTCCTTTCTGCTTTTCCCTTTTCTCTTCTCCTTTTATTCCTCATTCTCTTTACCATCTACCTATGTGTCCCTCCAAGCCCCTCTGCTATTTCTCCCCTGCTCAGTCCCTTTGCCCCGTCTCCCTCAGGTTCAGCTTCCAGGGTGGGGAGGCGAGAAAGGGTCCTCAGCCCAGGGAGCACTTGTTGGTGTTCTTCTTGTCGCAAGTTTTCAGGTCAGTACTGGGAGGCTTGTTGCCGTTTCCCTAGAGGGAGAAGGGCACAGGGGTCATGGTGTGAATGGCTGGTTAGGGTGTGAGGGTATAAACTGTTGGAAGTGAATCCACCCTCATGAGAAATCTTAGCATTGCTCCCCTCAATTCTTATCAACACCAACACACACACACCAGAGTTGTACCTAGTCCAGCAAAACCAACTTACTGATCTCCGGCCTCCTGACTTGAGCAAGATGTCCCGGGCCAGGGAGCTAAAAGCCTAAAGTGGGGAATAGAATCAGTTTGGAGGGAGGAGAATCTACCTTTTAATACTTCCTCTCTTGGTCAGGGATGGGGGTGTGGATCTCACCTCATCCACATTCATACTGGATTTAGCACTAGTTTCGAAAAATCGGATCCCGTGCTCTCGAGCCAACTATAAGGGGTGAAGTGAGAAGGAGAGAATTGAATTAAGGACAGCAGCCAAGTCCTCTGCAATGCAACCTATCTTGGCCCTCCCAGCCCAGTTCTAGAAATTGCTCAGCCTGGCCCTCACCTTATCGGCCTGCTCCTTCTGCACCTTCCTCTTGGCCTCCA